TTTCTCACAGAGATTTCACAATGATTTAGCTGTATAGTAAATTATAAATGATAGATTAATAATAATATATGATGCCCCATGAGGGGATATGTGGTACAATAATATTCTAGGGGTTTTCCCCCTATGAACTTGACACTAGGTATGGGATGAGGATGAGGGGGTTTAATGATTACACCTTTTATAATGCCGGTTTGACACTGCCAATGTCACTTTCACAATGATATAGATGTACGGTTGGATTTAATGTACTTATGAACAGGTTTTGGGACTGTATAGGTGTATGCGCATGTATGTACACTGTGGCAGCAGGCAGATAGGGATGTCTGTGTTCAGGTGTAATAATGAAGTTCTTCCTCTAGGGGGGAGTGCTGAGAGGGCTGGAGGCTCAGAGGTAACAAGCCCAGCTGAAGCTAGCTGGCTTGTTAGGGCCTCTACAAGAAGTTCCAGCCTCCTAAGAGAAGAGCCCCATCCTAGAACCGGACTGTGTGTCTGGTGGACTGGGGAGCAGACAGCCTGTGTGGCAAGGGGAAAAAGGACAAGCTGGTGCGGCCAGCGTTTTGGATACAGCCGGTGTGGCCAGACGTTCTTAGTTAAAGGACCTACTGAAGTCGGTGAGACGGAAAACATTTTTTTAAAGAAGATTATACTTTCTGTTGGAGAAACCCCTGCGACGGAAAACGTATGTGGATGTTTAAATAAAAGTGGGCAAAGAAGCCCTAAAACAGTGAAAAGTGAGTGGCGGTATCCTTAATGTGCTACCATTGAAAGCTAATCTCACAATATGTATATATATATATATTATATATACACATTTTTTCACAAGGATTAAGATGTAAAGTAAATTGTAGATTAATAATAAAATATGATATTCCATAAGGGGATATGCGGCACAATAATGTTCTTGGGGATTTTTCCTCTATGAACTTGACACCAGGTATGGGAAGATGGGGTTTTTGATTACACCTTTCACAATGACATAGATGTATGGTGGTTTTAATGTATTTATGAATAGGTTTGGGGACTGTATAGATATGTGTGCAAATATGTGTATGTACATATATACACATATATGTGTGTAAGGTGTTGTTTTTTTGTTCTTCCCCTCTTTTATTTTAATGGGGGCTGAGTAGAATGATGATGTAAGATATTGTGACTGTTAAATTATGTATTTATTTGTATGTTTAAACTTATTTGTGTAATGTATTGATGGAATATAAATAAAAAGTTGATAAACAAAAAAAATTAAAAAAAAGAACAGAGTCCGCCATCAATGCTCATCAGTGATTGTTGATGGACGAATCCCCCACTGTTTACTTTGTATACTGCACATGGCCACGGACCAAGGGTGCAAACAGTGGCACCCACTGTGCAAATTTCATCCGATTCATGAAGAAATAGCGTTCTGCCAGCTTTAATCTGACCTGTCCCTGAAAAGCCAGTACATTGTTTGCCATTTTAGGTAAAGAAAGAAAAATGGAATTGGGTTGTTCTTGCCATAGTTGCTGCCCCCCAGCCACATTGGTATTAGCCCATATGCCCTTCTGAACAGGACATCCTTAAGTGTATGTATAGCCCAAATTTTTTTTGTTTTGAATACAGTAGGAAATAGTTAAACCACCTTTTACTTTGTGTACTGTTGGGGAGATTTTCCCTCACTTCTTGTACTGGCGCTGCAACAGAAAGTTTAAAAAAAACTCCTCAAAGTGAGGGAAATTCCTATGAAACAGTTGCCACTGGAACAGCCAACATCTCTGATTTACCCTCATCTCTTGTTCCAATGGCAATTCTAAAATGTAGTATTTCTCTCACCTTCTGTCCCAGGGACAGTGGTCACCTGGACAAATAGGGAGGGTAATTCTGTCTTGTGTGGCGAAACAAGACCGCAATAAAACAAAAACAAATAAACTAAGCCGTCTCTACTCAATCCTACACTAAAAAAGAGTTTTGCCTATACATATCGTTTTATTTTCATTGGAATGATAGACCCAAACCTAGGAGATGTTTAATTACCATAGAGGAACAGATTTCCTATTTTGTAACTTTTCATAGTTTGCATTCTTAGATACAGTAAATGCATATACAAAATTATTCAGCAGGGTACAAATATTAAGGATGATGGGCAGAGTTCAGTAACAAAGCAAATTTACATTTTACCAGGGATAGTGATCGTTATAATTGATCTAGTGGCTAGTACCAATATTTTTTTTATCGGTACTCGCCGATACCAAGTACGGAGTACCGGTGCTGTGTGTCCAGATTATCAGGAGATCATGAACAGTGGCCCGGCTTCTAAATTGCCTGTGGAGCCGGTGTTCTAGCGAAAGTGTTCTAGCTTCACTTGCCGAGGTTTTCTTACCAATCAGGAACCTGGGCAGTGAGTTATACTGGTACCTTCCGGCTTCCTGATTGGTCAGGAAGCCAGGCTGCCTAGCAACAAGAGAAGCCGGCTTTCTAGCCAGTCAGGAAGCCGGGTGGCACGTCATGACCTGCCTCCCAGCTTCCTTATTGGGTAGGAAGCCAGCTTTACTTGTTCCTAGGCAGTCTGGTTTCCTCACCAATCGGGAAGCCGGGAGGTGGGTCATTACGTGCCACCCCGGCTTCCTGATTGGTTAGGAAGTCAGGCTGCCTAGCAACAAGTGAAGCTGGATTCCTAGGCAACCAGGAAGCTGGGAGGCAGGTCATAACCCACCGCCCGGCTACCTGATTGGAAAGGAAGCCGGCTCCATGCTCCCTTGGCACTGCAAGTTCCAGTATCGGAGCATTTGGGCGAGTACGAGTACTCAAATACTCGGTATCGGTACCAATACTAGTATCGGTGCATTCCTATTTAGAAGTAAGCAGTATAAATAAACAGATATTTAAATGACAAATCATAAGGAGACATAATATTTTATAAATGTTAGAAGCTTTATTTGGTTTTCAACAATCCACCGTAACACATTTCTAAAAGAAGTGCTTACAGATTTATGAAGTTAAATTGTTTATTTCAATCTTTATTTTTTAAACCAGAAATAGAAGCAAATCTTGTTTATGGCAAAACAAAACAAAAAAACAAGCGGCAGTTTAGGATTGACAGTTACAGAATAAGTGTCATATAATACAATTAGAAATTTTTAAAAAAACAGCATTGAACCATCAGATGTTGAATACAGAGCTGAAATCACATAACAAAAAACGGAGCATTTCAGTGTACTACTTAAATTAAAAAAAAAGGGACTGCCCTTCTAGCTCTGATTTTTTAAATCTTATAACATTTTAAAGCAACAGTATCAGCTTCTGTATGAATACTAAGAAATGTACAAAGCTTTAAAGAATACAAGTTATCAGACTGACCAGTTGAAGTGATATGATTTTAAGCTGGAAAAGTTACAAAGACAAACCAACATAACAAAAACACTATCTTATTAAGCAGTAAAATAGATACCAATTGCTATATTTACTTTTTTAATTACAAATCACATTATTATGGCAAAATTTACTTTGTGTTGTTATAAGGTTTACCCCTTCTGGCCACAATAACCATACAGCCATGAACCTTATCCAAATAAAGATTAAACAAAATGATGTCTGAATTAAGCATGGTACTGTTGCAATAAAATATTTAATGACATTTGATTTCTTCTCTGTTACAATGTCTGAGAAGATGGTGATGAATTTTAGTTATCCAAATAGTTCAATGCACTTTACAGTGTATTTATTACAACAGGTTGCATCTATCTGTAAAGCCCCATGAAAGAAAATATAGACTGTAAAAGCAAGTTAAAAAAATAGATGGAAAAATAGATTTCCATGTACAAATTGTTATATGAAAATAGATCAGTAAACCTTTCACGACCAGCATTTGGCTTCCAAGTGAAGTATTTCAGGTGGTGAGAGGGTTAAAATGTGCAAGGAATTCAATAAACAGCTGAAGATTTTATTGATTTAAAATTTTTACCTTTTTTTAATATCTCTACTCTTCACTTAGGAAGGTTAGCATTATATAAAGGCTGCAAAATGTATGTACAAACACACTGATATATATAATTATATACATGCTGAGGTTGGAGTGGGGTGGGGGGGATTCATTCCTTCTTTTTGGCAACTGTCAGTTCTAGCTTTGGCAGACGGACACCTGCCTTAGTTGCACTGTCATTGCTTGAGGAAGAGGAAACTCTGGACTTTCGGGAGGAAATTGATGCACCACTCCCTTGGACGTTTTCATCGTCACTTAACGTGACCTCATAAGAACCTTTTGACTTGGATCCCAAGCCGCCAAAAGTGCCAAATTTTATCTTTGATTGCTTTCCCTTCTTTTTGCCCCCCTCGGCAGATAATGAACTACCAGCCTCTAATGTACCACTTGGTGAGGAGTGTGTTGATTCATCTTTCTCTTCACTCAAGGAAGATGATCTCTGCCTTGTCTTTTTGCTCGTAAACAGCGAAAACTCATATTTTGGAGACTTTTCCACTTCTAAGCTTGTGGACATCAGGCCACCTTCTGCTGACCCTGCACTAGCTTTTGAACTTTTAAGGTCTCCTTTTGACCCAGAAACTGAGACATCCGGAAGGCTAACATCCCCTTTTGCTTTAGACTTGAAGTTCAGTTTTGGCATTTTTATCTTAGATTTCTTTATTTTAATCTCACTTTCATCAACTTCTAACTCAGTCTCACCAAACTTTTTCACCTGTACGTCAGCAGAAGGGAAGTTTACGTCAACTCCCACCTCTCTTCCTGTCAGCTCTGGTCCAGATGATGTAAATTTAGGCATTAAAAGTCGTGGGAAATAAATTTTAACATCAGAACTTTCTAGATTTCCACCTATCCCTTGAACATCCAAACCTCCCTTTACATTGGGTCCAGTAAACCCACCGTCCACTTTTCGGCCTACTCTTAAACCTTCTGACCCCTGCATATCTCCTGTCAGATTTGCACTTTGTCCAATTGAAATGCCTTCCTTTATCTTAGCATCTTTCAGAGAAATGTTGATCCCTGGAGCTGAACCTTTAACTGCAGCTGATGACTGAAATGAAGGCCCTTTCATTCTTAAGTCTGCACTTTCAATTTTGCCAGAAACATTAGCAAGACTAACATCTGGCCCAGAGAGAGAAATTTCCCCTTTTGGTAACTTAAACCCTTGGGGGTGTGAACCAGATATATCTACCTGAGGTAATGTAATATGGGGATCTAAACTTTTTGCATCAATAGATGGCAAATCAGCACTTATGCTCGGCTTCTTCACTCTACCAGAAATGTCCAAATCACTTTCAATGTTTGGTCCTTTTAAGTGAATATCAAAATTGGATTCAGAGACTTTTGGGGAAGAAATATCAACTGCCGGCAATTTAATTTTCCCTCCTGACCCAGAGATTCCTACTTTAGGAGCTTGAAACGCCATACTTCCTGAAGTAAGCATACCACTTTTAACATTTGGTCCTTTCAAATTAACATCCATCTCTGGTAAAGATGACTCAGCTGAAACACTAGGTATTTTACTGCTAATATTAATTGTACCATGGGTCACATCTACTCTAGGAGCTTTTATATCAGTGGAAATTTTTGGCCCAGTCAGATCAATATCTCCCTTATGAAGTGAAACACCAACATCAGCAGCTGGTGCTTCTACTTTTGGACTCGACATACTAAAATTAGGAAGCTTGAATTTTGGCTTTTTGACCTTTACATCAGGACCTTCAATACTAACCCCAGAAGATGTTAATTCAGCTTCTGGTGTCTTCAATCCACCACTAATGTCTAAATCTGGAGTTTTTAGTTCTGCACTAGGGCTCTGCAATGAAGTTTCTCCTTTAATCTTTGGAGATTTGATGTCAAACTCCACATCAGGGAAACTAATTTTGCCAAACAGTGGCTTTCTGGTTTTAGGTGCTTTGAAACCAAGATTTGTTGAAATTGCTGCATCCCCACCTGCAATATTTAAATCTGCATCTGGGGCATTAAGATTTATGTCACTGTCTACTTCAGGTGCACTTACATCAAAACCCCCTTTTTTGCCTTTTATTTTTGGACCACTCATATGAATTTTGGGCATTTTAAATTTCCCTTTTTTTCCTTTGCCTCCAACGCTCAACTCAGGCACTTCAGGGTCAAACTCTAAATCAGGAGGGTTAATATCTACAGAAGGTGACTTTATATCTGCTTTAGGTGACTTAATGCCAAAACCAAATTTTGATTTCTTTACCTTGGGAAGTTTTAAATTACCTTCAGTGCCTTCAATGTCCAATGTGGGAGTTTTTACACTGATATCTGGAGAATCCAAGCAGACACCAGGTGTTGACAAGTCCATTCCCGGGCCTTCAAGTTTACCTCCTAATTTCGGGCCACTGATGTTGCCCTTCAAATGTGGAGCCTTCAAACCTAAATTACCTTTTGGTAAGTTGACATCAGGACCTTCAATGTTTGCATTAAAACCAGATATATCAACACTTCCTTTAGGAAGGGAAGCATCAATGTCTGGACCCTCTAGTTTGGGAACATTAACACCAAATTTTGGCATTTTAAATTTGGGCATTTTAAGTTTGCCTTCTGGCCCTTCGAGATTTACATCTGGTGCTTCTAATTCTACTCCTGGAGTTTTAATGTCTAGTACTGGGGCATTAATGTCAACTTTAGGGCCTTTAAAATCTCCCCCTGCTTTAGGGCCTTTCAAATTAAAGTCAATATCTGGCATTGACAAATGTGGCATCTGCATTGAAGGTAACTTGAACTTGGAACCTTTTACTTTACCATCGAGATCTACATCTGGAGCCTTAAGGTCAACCTCTGGGCATTTCATGTCAACTTTGGGACCTTTCAAATCCCCTTCCACCTTTGGACCTTTAAAACCAAGACCAGCATGAGGCATTGATATGTGTGGTAAGTCTATATTCATTGAGGGCATCTCAAATTTAGGGCCTTTTAATTTTCCCTCTGGTCCCTTGATATTTAAATCAGGAGCCTGAATATCTACATTTGGGCCTGAAAAATCCATACTTCCTTTGGGAAGGCTAACATCAATGTCTGGGCCTTCTACTTTGGGGCCAGAAATGCCAAATTTGGGCATTTGAAATTTTGGCATTTTAAGTTTTCCTTCTGGCCCTTTCAGGTCGACATCTGGGGCTTCTAGTTCCACTCCTGGAGCTTCAAAATCTAAATCTGAGGCCTTTAAGTCAACTTCAGGGCCTTTAAAACCTCCTTCTATCTTAGGGCCTTTCAAATTGAAGTCAATATCAGGCATTGACATTTTTGGCATATGCATTGATGGTAACTTAAACTTTGAACCTTTTACTTTACCATCAATATCTATATCTGGAGCCTCAAGGTCGACTTCTGGGCCTTTTAAATCTCCTTCCACTTTTGGACCTTTCAGATTTAGATCGAAATCAGGCTTCGGTATCTTTGGTAGATTGATATTCATTGAGGGCATCTCAAATTTAGGGCCTTTTAATTTTCCCTCTGGTCCCTTGATATTTAAATCAGGAGCCTGAATATCTACATTTGGGCCTGAAAAATCCATGCTTCCTTTGGGAAGGCTAACATCAATGTCTGGGCCTTCTACTTTGGGGCCAGAAATGCCAAATTTGGGCATTTGAAATTTTGGCATTTTAAGTTTTCCTTCTGGCCCTTTCAGGTTGACATCTGGGGCTTCTAGTTCCACTCCTGGAGCTTCAAAATCTAAATCTGGGGCCTTTAAGTCAACTTCAGGGCCTTTAAAACCTCCTATCTTAGGGCCTTTCAAATTTAAGTCAATATCAGGCATTGACATTTTTGGTATATGAATTGATGGTAACTTAAACTTTGAACCTTTTACTTTACCATCAATATCTATATCTGGAGCCTCAAGGTCGACTTCTGGGCCTTTTAAATCTCCTTCCAATTTTGGACCTTTCAGATTTAGATCGAAATCAGGCTTCGGTATCTTTGGTAGATTGATATTCATTGAGGGCATCTCAAATTTAGGGCCTTTTAATTTACCCTCTGGTCCCTTGGTATTTAAGTCAGGAGCCTGAATATCTACATTTGGACCTGAAAAATCCATACTTCCTTTGGGAAGGCTAACATCAATGTCTGGGCCTTCTACTTTGGGGCCAGAAATGCCAAATTTTGGCATTTGAAATTTTGGCATTTTAAGTTTTCCTTCTGGCCCTTTCAGGTTGACATCTGGGGCTTCTAGTTCCACTCCTGGAGCTTCAAAATCTAAATCTGGGGCCTTTAAGTCAACTTCAGGGCCTTTAAAACCTCCTATCTTAGGGCCTTTCAAATTTAAGTCAATATCAGGCATGGACATTTTTGGCATATGCATTGATGGTAACTTAAACTTTGAACCTTTTACATTACCATCAATATCTATATCTGGAGCCTCAAGGTCGACTTCTGGGCCTTTTAAATCTCCTTCCAATTTGGGACCTTTCAGATTTAGATCGAAATCAGGCTTCGGTATCTTTGGTAGATTGATATTCATTGAGGGCATCTCAAATTTAGGGCCTTTTAGTTTTCCTTCTGGTCCTTCAATATTAAAATCAGGAGCCTGCATATCTGGTTTTGTGCCAGAAAATCCAAATTTAGGCATATTAAATTTGGGCATTTTAAGCTTTCCCTTACCTTCTGGGCCATCTAAAGAAACATCTGGGGTCTCCAGGTCTATGTCTGGTGTTTTCATATCAAGCTTGGGGCCATGCAATTCACCTTCAACCTTTGGAACAGACATGTCCAGATCTCCTTTTAACTTTGGTCCTTTCATGTTCAATTCAACATCTGGCATAGACACTTTGGGACTTGTTATGTTTAGCGAAGGCATTTTAAATTTGGGACTTTTACCTTTTGCCTCTAAATTTTGTATTTCTACATCAGGGCCACTGACTTCAATATCAGCTTTTGGAGCTTTTATGTCAGCACTGGGTGTGTGTACCTTGGGACCTGAGAAATTAAATTTTGGCAGCCTAAATTTAGATTTTTTACTTTTTATCTCAGGCATGTCAATGTTGGCTTCTGGCACACCTATTCCTAACTCAGGGCCTTTAAGGCTACCTCCCTTTGATGCATCAATGTCACCTTTAACCTTTCCACCTTTCAGATTAATATCTATATCTGGCATAGATGCACTTGGCTTTGAAAATCCCCATGATGGCATTTTGAATTTATGACCTTTAACTTTACCTTCAGGCAATTCTGCAGACAGGGATGGGCTGGGGACATCAAAATCAGCTTTAGGAGCCTTTATATCAGCATCCAGATTTGCCGTGGCAATGTCCACACTTCCTTTTAGTTTGGGACCTTTTACACCAAGATCTATATCAGGCATTGATACATGTGGAAAATTAACATTCAGTGATGGCATCTTCATTTTTGGACCTTTAACCTTCCCCTCTGGGAGTTCAACATCTAACTTAGGAGCTTTAATATCTACCTTTGGTCCAGACAGGTCAACATCTGCTTGTGGAAGGTTAATTTCTGGGCCTTTAATACTTCCATCTATGTTTGGAACTGAAAGGTCTCCTCCTGCCTTCAGCTTTGGACCTTTTACATTAAGATCAATATCAGGTTTGGAAAGCTTGGGCATATTAATATCCAGTGAAGGCATCTTAAATTTAGAGCCTTTAACCTTACCCTCTGGACCCTCAATATCCAATTCAGGTGTTTTTATATCGGCTTCCACACCTTCAATATTGGGTTCTGAAAACCCAAACTTTGGCATTTTAAATTTAGGCATTTTCAGCTTACCTTCAGGACACTCTATATCAACATCTGAGGTCTCTAAATCAAGTTGTGGTCCCTTTATATCAACATTAGGCCCTTTAATGTCTCCTATCTTGGGTAAAGAAACATCTGCCTCTCCTTTCCAGTTAGGGCCTTTTACATTAAAATCAATGTCAGGTAGAGATACATTTGGAAAATTTACTGATGGCATTTTAAATTTTGGGCCCTTTAATTTTCCATCAAGATCTAAATCAGAAGCCTTAAGGTCCACTTCAGGTGTTTTAAGATCAACTTTAGGCCCTTTCACATTTCCCTCTAATTTGGGACTTTTCATGCTTAAATCAATATCTGGCATAGATACCTTAGGCATATTAAAATTCATTGAAGGCATCTTAAATTTGGAACCTTTAACTTTACCTTCGGGACCCTCAATATCTAATCCTGGCCCTGAGACATCCAGATCAGCATCAATGTTGGGGCCCTCTAACTTGCTTTCAATTTTTGGGAGAGATACATCAGTCCCTGCTTTCAAGTTTGGGGATTTCAAATTCAAATCAATCTCTGGTATGGATACCTTAGGCATATTAAAATTCATTGAAGGCATCTTTAATTTTGGGCCCTTAACTTTCCCTTCAACATCTACATCAGGAATTTCAAGATCCCCCTCAGGCTTTTTAATGTTAATTTTAGGACCTTTGATATCTCCTTCTAATTTTGGACCTTTCATACTCAGATCAATATTAGGCATAGATACCTTAGGAAAATGAATGTTTCCTGATGGCATTTTAAATTTAGGACCTTTTACCTTACCGTCAGGTCCCTCAATGTCCACATTTATATCAGGGGCTTCAAGGTCCACATCAGGTACCTTGACATCAAGATCTATGGCATTTCCTTCCAATTTAGGACCTGCTACATTAATGTCAAAATCAGGGATTTCAATTTCAGTTTTAGGTTCTTTTAACTCTCCAAGTTTAGGACCCTTCAAACTCAGATCAATTTCTGGCATATTTACTCTAGGTAAATTAAAATTCATTGAGGGCATTTTAAATTTAGATCCTTTCAATTTGCCCTCTGGGCCATCAATATCTAGTTCAGGGGCCTTAACATCTAAATCAGGACCTTCCATTTTAGGGCCAGAGATGTCAGCACCTCCTTTAAATTTCGGACCCTTCAAATTCAAGTCAACATCTGGCATCGACAGTTTTGGCATTTTAAATTTTCCTCCTTTCATTTTACCTTCTGGACATTCTATTTCTAGTTCAGGAGCCTCAACATCAATATCTGGTGCTTTAATTTTACCTTCAGTTTTGGGAATGGAAACATCCACCCCTCCTTTCCATTTAGGACCTTTCATATTGATATCAACATCAGGTACACCAAAATCCAGGGAAGGCATTTTGAACTTAGGGCCCTTGATTTTGCTTCCAGAAACATCAATGTCAACTTCTGGAACTTCTAAATCTGCTTTAGGGCCACTTAACTCAATTTCTCCTTTTGGCAACTTACCATCTGAACCATCAGTTTTAAACCCAGAAAATCCAAATTTTGGCATATGGAATTTGTGTGTTTTTAACTTACCTTTTCCGTCTAGGTCAACTTCTGGGCCTTTGATGTCAACTTTATGATCTTTCAAATCCCCTTCCATTTTGGGGCTCTTCAGACCCAGATCAACTTCAGGCATAGATACTTTTGGTAAATTAATATTCAGTGATGGCATATTTATTTTAGTACCTTTCAGTTTTCCCTCTGGGCCTTCAATACTTAGCTCAGGAACATCAACATTTGGGCCAGAAATGTCAACATTTCCTGTAGGTATATTCACATCTATATTAGGACCTTCCATTTTTGGTCTAGAAATACCAAATTTTGGCATTTTAAACTTGGGCATTTTAAAATTTCCTTCTGGGCCTTTAAGATTTACATCAGGGACTTCTAAGTCAATATCAGGAGTCTCAACGTTAAGCTCTGGAACCTTCACATCAGCTTTGAGACCTTTCAAGTCTCCTTCCACTTTAGGACCCTTCAGACTAAGATCAACATCAGGCTTGGACATTTTTGGAAAATGTACTGAGGGCATTTTGAACCTGGAACCTTTCACTTTACCATCGAGATCTACATCTGGAGCCTCGAGGTCAACTTTGGGACCTTTTAAACCTCCTTCCAATTTTGGACCTTTCCAACTCATATCAGCATGAGGCATTGATATGTGTGGTAAGTCTATATTCATTGAGGGCATATTGAATTTGGGACCTTTTAATTTGCCCTCTGGACCCTCAATGTCTACATTAGGAGCCTGAATATCCACACTTGGAGCACATATATCGATACTTCCTTTGCAAAGATTAGCATCAATGTTTGGGCCTTCTACTTCTGGACTGGAAACCCCAAATTTGGGCATTTTAAATTTGGGCATTTTCAGTTTACCATCTGGGCCTTTCAGATTTACATCTGGTGCTTCAAATTCTACTTCTGGAGTTTCAATGTCTAGTTGTGGGGCTTTCATGTCAACTTTAGGGCCTTTAAAATCTCCTCCTGCTTTAGGGCCTTTCAAATTAAAGTCAATATCGGGCATTGACAAATGTGGCATTTGCATTGAAGGTAACTTGAACTTGGAACCTTTTACTTTACCATCGAGATCTACATCTGGAGGTTCGAGGTCAACTTTGGAACCTTTTAAATCTCCTTCCAATTTTGAATCTTTCAGATTTAGATCAGCATGAGGCATTGATACTTTTGGTAAACCTATATTCAATGAGGGCATATTAAATTTGGGACCTTTTAATTTTCCCTCTGATCCCTCAATGTCTACATCAGGAGCCTGAATATCCACACTTGGAGCAGATATATTGATACTTCCTTTGGGAACACTAACATCAATGTCTGGACCCTCCACTTTTGGATCAGAAACACCAAATTTGGGAATTTTAAATTTGGGCATTTTCAGTTTGCCTTCTGGGCCTTTCAGATTTACACCTGGTGCTTCTAATTCTACTCCTGGAGCTTCAATGTCTATTTCTGGGGCTTTAATGTCAACTCTAGTGCCTTTCAAGTCTCCTATCTTAGGGCCTTTGAAATCTCCTATTTTTGGTCCTTTCAAATTAATGTCAACATCATGCATTGACATTTTTGGCATTTGCACTGAAGGCAACCTGAACTTGGAACCTTTAAGATCTAAATCTGGACTTTGAAGGTTTACGTCTGGGCCTTTGATGTCAATTGTTGGACCTGTTAGAGCGCCTTCAATTTTTGGATCTTTCAACCTCATATCAGCATCAGCCACAGATACCTTTGGTAAATCAATATTCACTGAAGGCATTTCAATTTTTGGACTTTTCAGTTTCCCTTCTGCATTCTTGATATTTAACTCAGGAGCGCCAATGTCTATATTTGGACCAGTTAAGCCAACATTTCCTGTGGGCAAACTTACATCTATATTTGGGCCTTCCACTTGTGGCTTAGAAATACCAAACTTTGGGATTTTAAATGTTGGCATTTTAATTTTTCTGTCCAAACCAACATTGGAAGCATCCAAGTTAACATCAGGAATATTAGCATCAAGTTCTGGACCCTGTATATTAACGTAGGGTCCTTTTAAATCACTTTCTGGCACAGACATCCTTGGAAGATGCACTGAAGGCAATTCAAACTTGGAATCTTGCATTTTACCATCAACATCTATACCAGGACCCCGAAGCTCGATCTTTGGGACTTTAATGTCTACTTTGGAACCTTTTACATCTCCCTCCACCTTTGGATGTTTAAAACCGAGATCAACATCTGACACAGACACATTTGGTAAATTTATATCAAACTGGGGTTTTTCAAATTTAGGGCCTTTCATTTTCCCCTCTGGCCCCCTAATGCGGAAATCTGGAGCTTGGATATCTTTCAAGTCTCCTTCTATTTTAGGACCTTTCAAACTAGCATCAATATCTGGCACTGACACTTTTGGCAAGTTGGATTTTATTGATTCTATTTTCAGACTAGAGCCTTTTAAATCGCCACCTCGGTTACTGACATTTATATCTGTGTCTATACCAGATATGCCAATGTTTTGCTTGCCAATTTTTATACCCACACCAGGACCTTGCAATTTTGATTCTGCAATTCCAGATGTTGGCATTTTAACACCTTTAAACTCCAAGGACTCTTTTGGCAAGCCCACTGTTTCTTGGAAACCTAACTGAGGACCTTTAATATCTATGTTGGCAGATGCAACCTGTGAATTTGTGACACCACCCGCAGGGCCATGGAAATCTTTTTCTAACTTAAATCTATCAATGTCAGGCATTATGACACTAGTCTTACCCTCTTTGGTGTAGGTGTAGACAGAAGTTCCAGGAAGCTTAATGCCAGTTTCTGACATCCCTGCATTTGTTTCCAAGACACCAAACTTTGGAATTTTAAATGATGGTATGTGTATCTTTCCCACAGAATCGTCTAAGTCAATATCTGGTCCTTTCACATCCACACTAGGCATAGGCAGTTCTATTTTTGCAGTAGTAGCTTTTCCTTCAGCTGATGGTGAAAAGACGTCCAACTGTTGTTTTGCACTGACATCCCCTTCTTGAATTAAAGTTGCCTGGTTATATGTTCTGTCAAGCTTTGTTTGGAAGGATCCAGACTTTGACATCTGAAATGATGGAAGTCCTATATTCACTGACCCACCTCTGGTGTCCAAAGGGAGTACATTTTTTTCAGGTGTCTTAATGTCCCTCATTATAGATGTAGATTGGGTTTCTTTAGATGTACTTGTTACATCGGCTGGTATTTCACCAAGGGCTGCAGTTTCCATTTTAAATCCTTCTGCCTTCTTAATGTCATACTGAGGACCCCTGAACTTTATACCAGATGACTGGAAGACAGTTTCAGAGGTTACTGATGTTTTGTCCTGTTTGGGCACCCTAGTAATGCCAGAACTTAATAGGCCAAGGTCTACAGAGGAGCTTCCAGAAACATTGGGACCTTTAAACCTATCATGCTCTGTTTCAAATTTGGATGTCCTCACCTCAAATTTATTTTCGTAGCTCTGGAACTTTGGAGCAGAAACATTTACACCAGGCAAATTGATACTTAAGGAAGAGGTGCTGCCTGCTTGGACATTTGCATCAGCATCACTGTAGCCTTCAGGAAACTCAAACTCTCCTTTGCCGTGTTCATGATACCTCACTGTGGTACTGTGTACATCCACAGAGTCACCGGGCAGGGAAACACTGTGTTCTCTTCCTGCCTGATAACTTTTACCAGACACATCAATACCAGGAATTCGGATAACAGTTTTAGCCTCATCTGTCTGCACACTGGTTTTAGATATCTCAGTTATTTCATGGCGGGGAATCTTGATTTTATATTCAGGACTGCTTATATCAATCTCTTTTGAGTCTTTTGCTCCTGTCACATCCACGGTATAAGCGGTCACTTTCCTTGTAACGGTGATGGTCCTTGTCTGAGACTCTGGTTCCAAAGTCTCCTCTGACTTCAGACGTGGCTTAATCTTTTTTGTGTAAATTCGTCTATATTCCTCATCATCCCCACTCTGGAAAACAAAACATTGACAGATTATTGAAGGAGTGCCTTAAATTCACTATGGAAGAAAATATCCTGCCTAACTCTAGAAACTAACTGTAAACCTGATATGTATGGATCATTCATTTTCTGAGCTTTTAAATCGCATAAACATTTCTGGGGGGAAGTTTGCTTTGAGTTCAGAAGGGATAGTTAGAACTAGGGATATCCCGATACCGATGCTAGCATCAGAATCGGGCCCGATACAGGGCATTTTGACAAGTACTTGTCAAAATGCCCCGATGCCTAGCGGCGAAGCTTGCGCTATGTTTTTTTTTTCTTCTTACTTACCTCGCCGAGCGTCGCTGTCACTGCTAGCGGTTCCCAGGATTAAAGGTGATGGGTCAGGAGGGGGGAGTGGTGTGGCACTCGCGAACGAGGGGGTGCTCCGAAAATCACGCCATACAACCGATCGGCGGCTTTAGAGCCACTGATTGGTTGTATGTGAAACAGCCGTTGACGGCTGTAGAAACGAGCGGGTCTTTCCTGCCCGAGCAGGAAAAAAATGCGTCTGGAGACGGCAACCCGCTGATGCGGGCGGACGGCAAGAGGTTAAATTGTAACCCTACAGAATCTTGCACATCTACTACAGTGAAATACATGGAGGACACCCAATTTAGTGGGTAGAGCACCCTGGTTGTTGCTGAACTCTGGGCAAACATCTAAATATACATCTGAGCTACATATATGCTAACTATTTTACCTGCCAGAGAATTTGTAGTTCTGTGCAGCTACTGTTTTGCAGCAGGCACACAGCTTGGTCAAGAACATAGGGGCAAAGGCACCCCTAGCTGCCTTTCTGGACATTGAAGCAAAACCACAGTAACAAGACCATCCCTCTGCTTACTTGGCTCTCTCCTCCTGTCAGCATGTTCACTGTTAGCACTTTTGCACTGCAGCAGAGCCTGACTGGTCCAGTACTGCATCTCCCTCTCCTAGTCTGGTTTATGCACAGATGATTACAGAAAGCCTTCATTAAATTAAGTTTTGGTACACTTACGCTAGCTGCATTTAAAAATCAATTTATTGTTTATCCGCCTCCCGGCCGGCCATTATTTGCAAAACGGCCGGCCGGGAGCTTCCTGGATGTAACAGGCCATGTATATATGGCCTGTTAGCCCCACCCACTCACTGCGGGAAACTACCAAAATGTAAAAACAGCAAATCGATCGCCGGCGGATTGCTTGTATGGGTTGCCGATCGGAGATCTCTGCTTCATCAGCTTCTTTGGGGGTCCCTAGGTGACATTAGGGGTCTTGGAGACCCCTGATGTCTCCATAAAGAGGACCTGTCACATCTGCTAAAACGGGTGCGCATACGTGCTAAAACGACGATTGCGCCACACATGTTACATATCGCCGCGAATGTCGCAATGAGAGTTATAATTCTAGGGCCATTTATCACTGATAACACTAAACTGATTTTGGGTATGGTAGTTTTTGTGATTTTGTGGGTGTGCACAATTTGAAAGCTCAACATGTTTGGTGTCTATTTACCTGATGTGACCACATCTTTTATATTTTACCAAAAAATTGGGTAAGAATAAATGTATTATAACATAATGTAAGAAAAAAACGTTTTTTCCCCAAAAATTTTTAGTAATTTTTCCTTACTATAGTAAAAAATAAAAATCCCAGTGGTGATTAAATACCACCAAAAGAAAGCTCTATCTGTCCCCCAAAAATGGTATGAAATTAATTTCAGTACAGCGTTGCATGACGGAATAAATGTCAGTCAAATTCCCGCATCGCTGAATAAACACCTGGTCAGCAAGTGGTTAAATAAACAATATTTTTATTTTATATCCAGCTGGAGCTCAACTTCAACTTCTTACTCCAATTAACTATAATCTAACAGGCTGTTATATCCTACTGCACCATGCACGTTTTTACGCGTCTATCACTAAGCTTGTTAGCATGACTCACTACCACCTATAATTGTATCTTAATGTGACTTATAAGTCCAAACTATCTTTCCATATTTTGTATAGAGTTATTTATAGTTAAGATCAGGGATGGACCAATTCGGAAGGCGGCGCTGTTTAATGACTCGCCACACGCCTTACTGATTGGTCAGGAAGCTGGCGATTTAAGGAAGCCAGGGGGCGAATCATTACCAGCCCCCCGGCTTCCTGACTAGCCAGAAAGCGGACTCCATTCTTCCTCGTCACCTGGTGATGAGGGAGGATGGAGGCGGCATCCCGGATAATCAGGATGAGACTTCTGGTATCGGTATTCCGCATCAGCGGGCACCAAAAAAAATAAAATATTGGTACTCGATACCGAAAAAATGGCATCGGTGCATCCCTAGTTAAGACCCCTGGCAGTTTTTTTGCTATATCTCATTGGGGAAATGTACCTTCCCTTTCTGCCCTGCAGACAACAGAAAGTGGGAAGAAATCTCTCCAAAGTGAGATCCCCTTTTAGACAGCTCCCAATGGAACAAGCATCCCCAATGAACTCCTAACCCCTTTATTCCTGCGCCTTGTTATGGAAAAGTTTGGATCTTTCCACCAACTACAGAGTTCACCAGGACCAAGTAAATATCCCTCAGACAGGAATAAAGATTTGCTTTAGATTCATTTCTGTTTTTAGCAATATTTGCATTAATGTGAACAGGCTGTATTTATAACAATATACTTTCATTTGTCCACGGGAAAATGTAGCATAATAAATGACAATTTGCCCAAAGTCATGCAAAGCCTTCATTTAAAGTAATCCTAAATGGTAGGCATTCTCAGCATAAAGGTAAAATATGCCCCAGTGGATTTACGTGTCTTCAAAATGCCCAAACTTATTATGTTCCCTAAATTGCCGCCAGCTCCAGGTCCCACTTCCCCATACTTCCAGGTTGTGGAGCGCGCTCCCACTGTGCTTCAGAGAACAGAGACAGCGCATGTTCCAGTTGCTAACAAGCACGCAGGGAGGAGGGGAAAGGGGAGTGGCTTGCTGCCAGGGCTATGTGTGTCTATGGACACAATAGAGACGCCAGACTGCCACCTGGGAGTGTGCACATACAGGTGTCTACATGAATCCATGCAATGAGTGGGTTTTGCAGACCATAAATTCCATGCAACCACAAGCTAAAATTGAAAACAGGACTTCAGACAAGGATAGTGCTGATGCCTGCAGCACTACATTATTTCTTATATGAAGGGTTTAAAAACACTTCAAAAGATACTATAAGTACAGCAGTAAAAAGGGAAAATAAATAAAACTTGCTCACCAGAACAACATCGGGACTTTTTACGCTAAAGACATCGTGTGAATAGGTTGCGCCAGGCAGAGGGGATCGATCACCTTTCCTCTGTAGCTTGAGACCTACTGTGTGATGCCCGACATTTGCCAGCAGCTTCTCAATGTCCCCTGATGACATGTTCTCAAAATAGACTGTTGCACCCACAACCTGGTCACCTAAACATAAGCAATTATAAACCATTATCTTCAAAAGCATTTTCCATGTAATTGTTTCTTATATAAACTGAACAAAATAATAAAAGTACAGTGAACATTACTTCATTGGTGAAGAATCACTTTATCTTTTAGCTTGTGGATTTAAGATCTATGGTTGGCCTAACTCATGAGCACACTAATGATATTAGACTGTAAACTGCAATAGGCCTTATGTCTGAATATTTGAAGAAAAATGTATTTGCCTATAGCAAATACATTAGGTCTGTGAATGAAGGAAGTCGATTAGCAAGCGTATAAAAGGGTAATTTTTTTCCCCCTCACACAAGTCTCATAGCTCCTCAGCAGTAAAATGATACAGCTATGTACCTGTTCTGTGTGTGCCCTTACTGAATAAGATTTTCAGACAAAATGTATATTGTTTTATACATATTTTTTCTTGTGTTCAAGGCTCATGGGTTCATGTTTACTTCTAACCCTTTCACTGCCAGAGCCGTTTTTGCGTTAAAATGCACATTTTAGGCTTGACGATTACTTAAAACCCCACCCCAGGAATGATATATTTCCTGAAACCAGAGACTCTGTAGAATACAATCGTAAATATGAAACATTGCAAATATTATCTTTCCATTTCCAGCCAGCATGTGGATCTCTAGGTCATTTACTTATGTTTACACAGCTATTTTCAGTTGTACTGCTGAACCAATCGAATGTGTAGATACGTTCAGGTGATTGGACACTAGCAAATCAACCAAAGCTGTAGAGCAGCCCTGTATATCCCCTCCCACTCCCAGTCTGCCTCAGTTTTGTAGCCAGCAGTACAGCGAGTGGATCACAGAAAACAGAGAGAAGATTTTACAGATAGGACAAAAATCCTGTTTTCTTGATCGTTGATCACAAGACACAGGAGTGTCAATTCACAAAGAGAAACATTATTTGCTCTCTAGTTGTTAATTTACCTATCCTTATTTTTCATTTGAAAACATGATATTCACGAAAGTCCTTCCCTGACTCTAAAACACTTACCTTCTTTAACAACACCTGTTTTGGCAGCTGGTGAGTTCTGCACCAATTGTTTTACAAACACTCCGTCATCATTCTGATCTAGGGTCAGGCCCATAGACCCACTGCCTTGCCAGTTGGGTAGCAAAACTTCTCGTGTATCCTCCTCCTCCATCTTTGAAAACAGGATGGAAAGAAAAAGTTTTAGCACCAAGAATACCTTAACATGTATAAAAGTGTCGTCTTTATGCACCTACCAACATCTGTCAGCTCAAAATCAGAACAAAATTACTTTACTCTACCAACCATTTACAGAATCATTCAGCCATGTCTAGAATGTATTCACATACTACAGTGAACTTCATCCTTTAAAAAAATGTGTGAGATTATAATAAAAATATTGAGCAGTGCAAGGTCAAGCTAACCCATGTATAGAGATGCTGCAGTTGTCCTTTGCTTTTAGGCATCCTGAACTCGTAGCCATGGAAGGTTTACCACACCAGCAATGACCAAAAACTGAAATTCTTCTTTGAATGTAGTTTTAAACTCTGTATTTCAGTAATGTCACTTCTAGAGATATAGGGGAAGCAACGTTTTTGTCTATTTAATTCATTTACACTGTGTTAATGGTGGTGCACATACTGTTTGTACTGCCTTCTCTTTTTCACAGGAGCCCATTAGGGGATGGGATACCCCTTCAGGGGATTATTCTGCAGTGCATGCAGAAGGGGGAATCTGGAAAGAGACCAATGTATTATAAAACATGGGATTTTTGTAGTTACGTAAACCTGTTTCTTGGAGATAATTAAAACTGCTGTAGGTTTGGACATTGGCAAACATACATTGAGGAAAATAATGATTTGATCCCCTGCAGATTTTTTAAGTTTGCCCACTTACAAAGAAAGGAAAGGTCTATATTTTTTTTATCATAGGTGTATTTTAAATGATAGAGACAGAATATCAACCAAAAATCCAGAAAAAAACAATGATACAAATTTTTGCAGTTCAGTAAATAAAATAAGTATTTGATCCCCTACAAACCAACAATAATTCTGTCTCCCACAGACTGGCTATGTAGTACACAGATTAGTCCTGTCAATTTAAAAAAGGTGCTCCTGACGACAACTCGTTATGTATATAAAAGACACCTGTCCACAGAATCTCTTTCTTCCATTCAAACCTCACCACCATGGGCAAGACCAAAGAGCTGTCAAATTACATTAGGCTGGGTTCACACCTAGGCGTACGGAATATGCGTGTTTGCCGCACGTTTCGTGCTGCGTGGTTTTACCGCGATTTGCGGTAAAAGAAACGCGTGACAAACGCGTTTCCAAGAGCTATCCGGCTGTATCCCAATGGATACGTGCAGCAAATATGCCCCAAAGAAGCTCCTGTACTGCTTTGGGCGTAGGGCGTTTTGTAGCGCGTTCCTACTCGCTGTAAAACGCCCAGATGGGAACCAGGCCTTAGGGACAAGATTGTATACCTGTACAAGGCAGGAATGGGCTACAAGACTATCAGCAAGAAGCTTGGTGAGAAGGAAAAAACTGTAGGAGCGATTATTCGCAAATGAAAGGAATACAAAAAGCCCATCAATCGCCCTCGGCCTGGAGCTCCATGCAAGATTTCGCCTCATGGGGTAAGGATGATCATGAGAAAAGTGAGGTATCAGCCCAGAACTACATGGGAGGAGCTTGCGAATGATCTCCAATACACCGCCATGGATTGAGATCCTGCAGCGCCCGCAAGGCCCCCCTCCTCAAGAAGGCACATGTAGAGGCCTGTCTGAAGTTTGCCAATGAACATCATAATGATTCAGAGAAGGCTTAGGAGAAAGTGCTGTGGTCAGATGAGACCAAAATCAAGCTCTTTGGCATTAACTCGACTTGCCGTGTTTGGGAGGAAGGCAAATGCAGACTATGACCCTAAGAACACCATTCCTGCAGTCAAGCACGGAGGTGGAAACATTATTATATTCTAATATACAGCAGGGCTCAAAATTTCAAGTCCTGAGCTACTAGCCAGGCCTTAAAGGTTACTCGCCACCAGTTGCCCCACCTAACCCCTACCCTGCCTTAAGTCCGCCAGGTCAGCGGTGTGACGCACATTACAGAAGTCAGTGGTGCAATGCCTAATACAGAGGTCAACTGTGTGACGCACAGTACAGAAGTACTGTGGTACAGAGATCTTCCATGTATCCTCTTTTCCCCCTGCATAACGTTCTGGCCAGGTGTCTCACTGTCTCTGCAGTCTTCCTCCCAGCCTATGGCAGCTGAACTGGGCGGAGGAAGCTGCAGAAGACAGCAGAACTGAATGTCATCTAGGGGATGGGCCGCCGGCGGGACCCGAGATGGGACACTACCGCCGTGGCGATCGTTTGCTTTTGTTCTCTCTTCTCCTTCTCGGACGTTCTGTAGCTGCAGCTATAGAGGAGGAGAAGAGAGAACAGAAGCGAGCAATCGCCGCTGCGGTAGAGTCCCATCTCTGGTCCCGCCGCCTTTCTCGGTGACTTCACCATTCCTTGCTCGGGCAGTGTCACGGGGTCTGAAAGCACTGGATGGATCTTGCCCTGATCTGTCAACGCCTACATCAGTCATTATACATTACACTTGACTTCTGTTCTCTTTTTTCCTTCGGCCGCTCTGTAGCTGCAGCGGCCGAGAAGAGAACAGAAGCGAGCAATCGCAGCGGCGGTAATGTCCCATCTCTGGTCCCGCCGGCGGTGCACCCCCTCGATGACATTCCACTCGCCCCCACGCAATTTTCACTCGCCAATTGCGAGGGGGGCGAGTGGGAATTTTGAGGCCTGATATACAGTATATATACATCCCTCCCCCCATGCGAAGGTGCTAAGTGTCATCCTCACCTTTCTACCCCACCTTCATAACATCATGAAGGACCTCACCTTTCTACCCCACCTTCATAACATCTCCAAAATACACCCCTCCCTCACCAATGAAACCATAAAGCTACTCATTCACTCACTTGTTATCTCTCGTCTTGACTATTGCAACTACCTCCTCATTAGTCTACCTCTACACAGGCTATTCCCCCTTCAGTCTATCATGAATGATGCTGCTAGACTCATTCATCCAACCAACTGCTCAGTGTTGGCAACCTCCATTTGCCAATCCCTCCACTGGCTTCCATTGGCCAAAGGATAAAATTCAAATAATAAACAACCACTTATAAAGCCATCCACTACTCTGCCTCCGGCTAGACCTTGTCTCAAAGGATCACCATAACCGTCCCCTCCGCTCTTCCAAAGACCTCCTGCTCTCTAGCTCCCTCGTCAACTCCCCCAGGACTTCTCTAGAGTCTCTCCCATCCTCTGGAACTCCTTACCCCAACCTGTCCATCTATCTCCTACTCTGACTGCCTTTAGGCTATCCCTAAAGACTCATCTCTTCAGGGAAGCCTATCCCACCTCAACCTAACCACTGAACTATCACTTTCTCAAACAATTAATCCCCACACAGCTACCTCCCCATGTATCACTTTTAGATTGTAAGCTCTCAGGGGCAGGGCCCTCCTTACCATCTTGTCTTGAACTGTATTTTAATTGTAATGTCTCCCTTATATTGGTACATGGCAAGAGAAATGGGTTTTAAGGGGATCTAATTCAGTCCTAGAATAGATACCAGTGTGCAGATCAGGGGACAGACTAAGGAACAGGTTTAGAAATCATGAATTAAATCTGCACAGTACAGGCAGGGTTAATTATTTTATACAAAAAAAACCCAGATGTTGAGAACTAAGCAGTATTTTTCCCCGAGTTTACAGAAAGAGCATCTAAAAAAGTAAGCTACAATATTTACATTTTTTTTAAATTAGAAGATGTGAATGGGAACATGTAACAAATATAAAGTAGGCGTGATCCCAATTTGGTTCCTAAATTGTAAATACACTTTAAAAATGAATGTAATACTGTAGTCAGCAGGCAGATGGAGCACCAAGCACAGAAATGCTACACTTACTGCATGGCACAATCACATGTACAAGCTATTGAAGATACAAAATGGACGCTAGCAGGCTGAGTTGTACCTAGCAATTTTGTGAGCAACAGAGGGTTTGTGTCAATGAAATAGACAATGTAACTATAATATTAGATCTAATATTGTGATCTTTCAATTACTTTTAGTAAAATGGTATATTACATTTGTTAACACTGAATGTAAAGCAGCTTTTACACAAGGACTTCTGATTGTGCCCTTAAGACACTAAAGATATTTTCACCATCTCAAAAAGTACATAAACCCCTTTCCACACAGCATGCACAGCACAATTTTTTTGTTTTGGGGGCCCAGCTATATCTTGGCACAGGGATTGTAAGGACTTGCATAACTGTAAAATACATTCAAGAGAAGCTTAGTTTTTGCACCTGCTGCTGTCAGATTATAATAGCCTGGCAGGGAGGGACTTCGAGTTATTTTTTAATTCAGCCTGCGGGGCTAAACAAGAAAAAACTAAGTGTATTGCCAGCCTTAGAGTTGCCTCTCAAAAAAAACCTCAAACCAAGGGCTCAAAACTGATCAGATTTAGGTGGGAACCGTGAACCACTGAAGAATATTCTAGCTGCTTTTAACTATCTGGACACCATATGGATAATAGTCTCTCCTGGGTTATGACATTTTAGATTCCTGAAATTCTCCACTATTTTTTATGCTTTTCTATTGAGCTTTAATTTCTGGATAGCAAAGAAAAATCTGTTCTACATTACTACAGATTTTTTTTGTCCTGCCAACTGCTCTGGTCAGTTCTTATAGCAGGGTGCATCTTACACCTATTCAAGAGAAAACTTGCAAAGCTTGATGGATTTGCAATGACTAAGCAATAAGAAACAAGGACTGCTTAACTTTTTTTTCTGTGTTTACTTTTAGGTTTCCAGATCCTATACATTAGGTTACCTGTTGCCAGATTATACTAGGAAGTAAAAACATGTATAATAACCGAGCACATAGACAAATGGATGACTTACCTTGATTTGTTGAGCTAGTTACCTTCTACAAAACCTTGCTGGCTCGGTCTGCACAGGTGTTTGCATGAGGACCTCAGACTGTTGGACAGAAGAAAACAAAAAAGTCAAAATAAACTCAAGAATCAATGAGATAACAGCTTGCAAAGTTTTCAATGTGACAAGATTGACATTGTACATATATTTAGGGATATATTTTCATTCTGGGATATACAATAAAGTCCTCAAATATTCTGCAGAATAGAAAAGGGTGTGGGCTTTTATAAAACGTGGACATTCAAAAAAGGCATGTGACATTAAACAAACCTCCCTGTGTAAATATCATACAAACAATTGAAGACTGAGTCTCCTTCTCCCATGACTCTGGCCACAGATCAACCAACCATGAGACCCAAATTAACCAAAACACAAGAGCTCTGTTTCAAGAAAACCTGAATCAGTCTTCCCCTAGATCTGAAGCAAATGGATTAAAATGTCTGATGTGCACAAGCTTGTCATCAGTTTAAACCTGGAGATGCAAAAAAAAATTAAAAGCACACACCCTTAACTTTCATTAAAGGGAACTCAGAACGTTACATCCAATACCAAACCACCCAAGTGACAGAATTGCGGGAATGAACTGCTAAACAATTGGTATTTAGAGGGTATGCCATTCCATTCCACTGTGTATAACAGTAATTCTCAGGAACAGTACATAGTTGGAAACCCAAGTGGAAGTTGTATAAGGTTGTTGATGGCCAACCCAAACTTAGTCTGTCTCAGGTTACTCTCCAGTTGAAAGCCCCAAACTACTCCCCAGATTAAAGCAATCATTTTAGTTTTATTGGTAAAAAATAGGGATGCACCGATACTAGTATTGGCGCAGATACCGAGTATTTGGGCGAGTACTTGTAGTCGCCCAAATGCTCCGATACCTCTGATAGCGGAAGTGCCGAGGGAGCATGGAGCCGGCTTCTTCTCCAACCAGGAAACCGGGTGGTGGGTTATGACCCACATCCCGGCTTGCTGATTCGCTAGGAAGCAGGCTTCACTTGTTGCTAGGCAGCCTGGCTTCCTAACCAATCAGGAAGCCGGGCAGCATGTCATGACTCACGTACCAGCTTCCTACCTACCTAGCAGCAAGTGACGCCGTGCTTCCTAGCCAATCAGGAAGCTGGGAGGCGGGTCATGGCATGTCGCCTGGCTTCCTGCTTGGCTAGGAAGCCAGCTTCAGTTGTTGCTAGGCAGCCTGACCTCCTGACCAATCAGGGAGCCGGACAGCACCTCATGACTAGCCACTCTGCTTCTTGATTGGTCAGGATGCCAGGCAGCTTCGGCAAGTGAAGCCAGTGTTCTTTCACTAGAACACCCACTTCAGAGGCAATCAAGAAGCGGGCGACGGGTCATGATCCACCACCCAACTTCCTGATAATCTGGGCACACAGCACCAGTACTGGGAAAAAAAATATAGATACTCGTACTCGATACCGAAAAAACGGTGTATCCCTAGTAAAAAATATACCTTATTTCCTACAAGTACCGTACACCAAATACTATGCAAAACAGTTTGAGACATTTTCTGGAGTTTAAAGGGGACCCTAAAGTGCATGTCCAGGCATTGTACAACTTTACCCGCAAACCTCCCTTTCCCCCCTCTAGAGCTTGTCCCACCATTATTAATCTACCCCCTGCAGAAACAAACAGGTTTTATTACTCCCTGTGACATTCTAAAGGCTTGTAAAATTCTAGCAAGGGCAGCTGCTGGTAGCTCAGTCCCTACTGGCATACCCCTAGAACTACATCTGCCGAGAGCCTTTTCCCTACACACAGTGTAAAGGCAAGCTTTTGGAATTCAGGGCAGCAGCACCGTTTTTCTGGGAAATAAATCAATATATGCATGTAGAGAGGAACAGAGTGGTGGGAGATCAGCAGATGTATGTAGTCCAGCAGGCTTGGTTGGGATTCCAGCACAAAAAAAAGGCACTGTGTTGTCCGCCCAAACAAAACTTTATGAGCTCACTGAATTTCTGGCAGATCAGGAAGTGGTTTTTTTCTACTTTTAAAGGGATAAAATATATGAAAATACTTATTTTTATTTCGCCCTTACATGGGTAGTTCCACAACAAAACCAAATAAAGCAGATTTTGCAGGAAAATCTTGCAAATCTTCTGCAGCAGTAGGATAGTAAGAATGTCGAAGGATAAAAAGAATAGATTGCCAGCAGTACTTTGATACAATGAGCTGAGGCAGCTCACAGCCAGATAGATGCATCATGGAAGAATGATGTCATCAGACTTCCCCCTCCCTAATCTGTCTGATCCCTCCTTCTATTGCAATGTTCCTGCTGTGTTACTGTCAAATGATATAACGTAAAGTAAAAGAAAGGTATTTCCACAGTCATCATGACTTTATTATAATGGCATGGTTGCCTCCATCCCTGGTGAGCAAAATAACCCTTTTCATGTTACAAAAAATGAAAACACATGAATTTTGAAACTTGAAAACCACTACACGATGCAGCATTTTGAATGCAGAGACGAGAAGAGGCTACTACACAGAGATGTACCATTATTATACAGTCATGGCACCCCACTAACACTACTTTCAGCTGCTTCACTACTATTGAAAACACTAACACATTTATGCTGATTATACATGCAAATTAGCAGGGCACATATATGAAACTCTGCTTCCTGATCCACTTTTTCTTTTTAAACATCCTAAGAAAGAGGACGGGACAAATTAGCCTGATGACATCGATCTAACAAGAGGCAACCAGGTGGCAGTGTGCAGCCCAGTTGCATCTCAGGAGTGCTATGCAGTGCTGGAGATTCTCTTTTATTTATCTGTACAACATAAAGCTCATCTCCACAGTCTAAAGTAGGCCTATCTATGAGAGAGTGAATTTTTTTAACTTTTAGGCTTTAGGTCTGCTGTAAATTGTAATTACTTCAATAAACATTGGGTAATTGTGGGCATATTGTTCTGTTTAGGCTTTTCTTTTTTTTTCTCCGTATCTCTATAGGTTGGACTCGATGGACTTGTGTCTTTTTTCAACCTGACTATGTAACACATTATCATAAAACCAAGTTCTTGTGATTTTATCATAATATTCCCGGATAACACATCTATCTCAAAAGCTATAAACAGCAGGATTTGTGGATCCAATAGAAATTTTGGGAGGTATGGTAGTTGTCCAGCATTTTACAATAATTCCCTGTTGACCAACATTTAGTCATATCGATCCAAAAAACTATGCCATGCAACACTGTTAACAACACACCGCTAACTTGAAATTATATGGTGCTCAAACACAATTTTTTGTGGACTGAATTAATTGAAACATGCCTAAAAATCAGTTTAGCATACCGCTGTGCCCATTGGCCACCCCAATAGTCTATTCTATGCAAGCTAACCTTTTGGTGGTCATATTCTGACCCAATCTGGTTGCTGAAATGATTCTGAGCAGCAATGCATAAGAGATGACAGTCATAAGTCAAGCTGTCAACACAACCATTTTAAAAAGAAAAAAAACTTCCACCAAATATGAGCAGTCAACATAGGATTCCTGTACAGATTACACACTTATGTTTTTGCTGCTTGGTGATTACAGACAGAAATAACAGATAAACATTTCTTATAATATAAGGGTCACCCCTTTTAATGAGGGACAGATGGACAAACTAGTCACAAGTGATCAAACTAAAAGCCTTCTATGTTACCATGACACTTCAAGGTAAGCAATTGGCTGGAATGTGTCATTTATTAATAACAAAGAATGGTGAGCCAATTGAATATATTTAGTAGCAATTGAATATATGAATATCAAGAACCAATGGCTCATATGAAAGGCATGTGACAGCATAGACCTACTGCTAGAAAATCTCCAGCAACTTAGTAGATTTATTTCATAGCAGTCTAATATCACCGATGCACACAATTAATTCTGAACTGTGTACATGCAACAATAGGATTTCCAACAAAGCTTGTGGATGGCAGAAAGCTAATAATTCTAGGAAATTGCTGATGTCATTTTTCACACAGTATTTTTTAATAATTAAAACCCCCATTAAGTATAATATGTCTTTACTGTAATATGTAATATACTTGTTCTGTAAAAAAAAATAAAAAGCCCTACAGATAGAAGCTCTGTTCTTCCAGTGTAACTAAATGTCTTCCTTCAAAGCATGTCTATACAGCACCTGGTATATTGTAGTATCCACCCAATTGTATCATTGTTATTAATAACTGGGCAGTGTTCTGAGTGCAAGTCAATCTGGGGGTTTTCTAGTATGCGTGGAAAAAAACAATAATATTTATTTTGTTTCCTTGACAAAAAAGAACAACCCTTTTACTGCACATATACCAAGTGTTATATTGCAAAAGTTAGAAAACTTTGTGGTTACATCTGGGTTAGTTTGAAAACCCAGGCAGATCTCAGGCACCTACGAGTTCAGTATGAGCATAGCTAAACATTAGGTAATACAAAAGTCAATTGGTTAGCGGTATGCCATAAGCGATGCACGATTAAACTGACACTAAACTCAGGAGTTACATCTTAAAACTGCATTCAGGTACCCTAACTATTAGGCTGGGTTCACACCTAGGCGTATCCAATATGCGCGTTTGTTGCGCGTTTGTACCGCGATTCGCTGTAAAAAAAATGTGCGACAAACGCGCGTTTCCGAGGGCTACCTGGCTGTAGCCCAATGGATACGCGCGGCAAATACGCCCCAAAGAAGCTCCTGTACTTCTTTGGGTGTAGGGCGTTTTGCAGCGCGTTCCTACACGCTGTAAAACGCCCAGGTGGGAACCATGCGCATAGGCAATCATTGGTTTTCACATGTTGAGCGTTTTACAGAGCGTAGGAACGTGCTGTAAAACGCCCAGGTGTGAACCAGGCCTTAACATAAATGCACCTTATGTGTGTATTACTCCAGCTGTAGATCCTCAAATCATCTCTGAACTGGTACCAACACTGTCCTTCCTTCTGGAGGGTGGCTACTTTTGTTCTCCATGGTCCCTGTGTGTGTTGTAAAGTAGCCACCGCTCTAATCTCGCTCCTGTGATGGACTAAAATCTCACGTTTAGTTTACGCATTT